CTGGCTTTAAGCAATGCTACTAAGATAATAGAACGATAATAGTTCATGATGCCCTTCAGCTGTCTTGCTGCCTCATTACTAGACTAGCCCTGACTGGAGAGGCAATGTAACCTGGTAGATGAAGCATTAAATTGGCACCTGGGAGAACCTGGCTCTTCCCCATTTTTGTCAATGACTGAGTGACTCTATCTTTGACTCTCTCCCCCTGCCCTGTTCTGTAAGATGGAGTGCTACATCAAGTAAATTGCTTTGAGTTTAGCAAAAGAGAAGTACGTATATTTTTCATAAGTACTACTACCAGTATAGCTCTGGAACGTGGTGCAAAAAAGCATTCTTTGGGGCTTTGAACGTTCTGCTGGAGAATCCTGTAGGACAGGGCAAGGAAAAATGTAAGATGGGGAGTTCCTGAACACTTACTTCGGTGGTACCCATGACTCTACTAAAAAGCTTTCCTTTAATAAAATATTCCTTCCAACATAACTGTTTTCTTCTTTTGCAATTTAACAAGTTTCATAACTACATCTGTAAGCATCTTCATGTCCAAGTATTTTTACAGCATTTCTTGTATTATTAACATTCTTTCAAAACCACAGGATTATTACAGTATCATAAAGAAACCCATGGATTTGAGCACAATTAAAAAGCGTCTGGAACATAATTACTACACAAAAGCTGCAGAATGCATTGAAGACTTTAAAACTATGTTCTTGAACTGCTATATATATAACAAGGTATGTGAAACACTGCAGCACCCTCTTACCAGTAAACAATTAAATTGAACAATAAAAATAAGTAGTTATTACAATCAGCACAAAATCAGTCCATGACTTGGACACTCTTGGAAATGAGTATCTTTAAAAGGGGGGGCTTGACTGCTAGAACTGACAGAAGGTGCATATGCGTGTCTGAGCCTGCTGTTCAGTAACTGAATGCATAGGCTTCTCTGCATAAAGATTCTGCCTGAAAAATCTCTAGGTTTGTTACATAGCTTGTGAAAAGCACAGTATAATTGCTATACATGCTTAAGGCCTGCTATTATGAATCCTGCTCCACTCCTCCAGTAAGTTTGACAGACTAACCTAACTTGAAATATGAGCTGCGCTCTGTGCTTGAATACTTGCTGGCTGTGTCTTAGCACTCTGAGCTTCAACATCTTTCTTCAGAACATGAAAATGAATAAGGGGATTACGGCTCTGTCTTCCTTTCCCTTTACTGAGAAGTACGTGGATATATGAAGAAGTAGGATTGTGCAAGGGGAAAAGTGGTTTGTTCTTCCAATTGTGAAGCAACTTGTAATAGAATGAGCGTGGGCAGACAGGGCCTTAGGTCCTCCTGTGGTCCTGGTGGCTTGTTCTAATTGTTGGAGCAGGAGTGTACAGACTGGTTAGCTGAAAAACCAAGACTTTGCTATTACATCTTCTCCTGTACTCTGAATGTTATTGACTATATTTTGCAGCCAGGTGATGACATTGTGTTTATGGCACAAGAACTAGAAAAAGTGTTTTTGCAGAAAATAGCACAAATGCCACCAGAAGAAAGAATAGTGATCCTCAACAAAGGGAAGAGAAAAGGAAAGAAGGCAGAAGGTAAGGACTACATTACATGCTGAATTGCTAATGTATATTAAACAACCAAAAGCTGGGAACAGAATTCTCCATAGCTTGCCACAGCTTAGCCCTGGAGTAGTCAGGATGCTCTCACAAGACTCCATTTCTCCTAGAACATATCAGATAAGCAAAAACACTGCTATAATGCTTTAGGTTCAGTGCTGCCATAATACTTCTACAGTGCAGCCAAAATATGGATGTTCTTATTTTCTACTTATAAATGAGCCTAACTAAGGGGGGGGGGGGAAGAGAATAAATAGTTTCATTGATAGTGTTACATCACAGTTCTGTAGGCAAGCTTCTGGTGAAAGGTAGCTTTGCCCATAAGAAGGAACACTCAGTCAAGACCCCTCAAACTTACGAGGGAATATCATATTAGGCTTCCGAATGTAACTTGAAGCTGTTAATTATAAGGGGCCAGAGATTAGCTTCCACTTGTTACTCATCATTGACTTCTGTGCCTTTTTTATTGCTTTTATTACTTGTTTCACTACTCTGAAAATTGTTTCACTTCTACAAAGTGCTCACTTTGTTTCTAATCAAACTATTATCGAATTGCTCTAGAAACATCTAATTTGCTAATATTGGCAGACAAATACATACTTCTATTGATAGAAGTAAGACTATGCTGTCCCTAGGATTTCTGTGCATCTCAGTTTGAAGACCTCCCTGTGATATGGTTTTCCAGTGGGGTCTGAAGGCACTGCTGTCAATTGCCTTGTAGACAAGATGCAGCATCTTATCATTAGATCCAACAGCACCTGACTGAACTTCAGTGGAGCTACAACACTTCGATATCCTGTTACCTCTTAATAATGACTTGCCTTTTGACATATGTGTAGCAATGATCTTAGCTAGCTCAGTTCTTACTGCTTCACTTTACAGAAGTTCTTATATAGCTAAGCAACTCTTCAGGGTCTCCTGATGACTTTGCTGCCTTCCCCTTACTGTTCTTTGTGGTGCGGTTGTCCTTGTTGCCGACAGTTTCTGAAATTAATACTATTTTAAAGAAAGGTTTTAGTTTGACAGACCTCTAACTTCCTTTCAAAAATGATCTCTACCTCTACCTTTCAAAATGATCTGGCAGATCATGCCATCTGTACATAGGTGTAAAGAAAACGACTGTTATTTCCATTGGCATAACCTTGATTAAACTTGGCATCACTGCTTGGAAAATAGTGAAGCCTGCAGGCCTAAGCTTGAACTTTAACCAAGCCCGTGGGATACTGCTGATGGAACTACTGCAGAACCAGCTAGAATCAGCCCTCAAAGACAGAGAACACAATGTACAGAGGTAACGGTTAACCTTTGGATAAGATACTGAACACAATGGACAGGTATAGGTTAACCTCTGGATAAGAGAAGGCTCTGTGAATCAGGAACATAACTACCGTCCTGGGATGTAGACATGAACCAATCAAAAGCATGGAGACCACCAACTCAGTAAAGAAGACTGGAAGAGACTGTCCCTGCAGGCAGGGAAATAAGACTGTAAGGAGTATAATTATTCTAGAATTTCTTTGTTCTGCATCCCTCTTCAGAGGCACCCAGCTTGAGCTGAAATGAACGATTGTATAAGAGTTAGAATCAGCCCTCAAAGACAGAGAACACAATGTACAGAGGTAACGGTTAACCTTTGGATAAGATACTGAACACAATGGACAGGTATAGGTTAACCTCTGGATAAGAGAAGGCGCTGTGAATCAGGAACATAACTACCGTCCTGGGATGTAGACATGAACCAATCAAAAGCATGGAGACCACCAACTCAGTAAAGAAGACTGGAAGAGACTGTCCCTGCAGGCAGGGAAATAAGACTGTAAGGAGTATAATTATTCTAGAATTTCTTTGTTCTGCATCCCTCTTCAGAGGCACCCAGCTTGAGCTGAAATGAACGATTGTATAAGAGTCTGACTTAGTGGTGAATGCCTGGGGACCTTTATAACAATAGGTATAGGAAAAGCAGTGGATAATTCAGTTCTATGTATCCTTTTTGGGGGGGGGGGTAGGAGGAGGAAGAGGATGCTCAGTTGGCTGGCTTACTACTCTGACTAGTGCCCTTTAAAGCAAGACTACTAGTAAAATATCTTGAGCATGTCATTGTTTTAGCAGAATATGTTGGTTGAGCAGATAGAGGCGACACCTAAAAAAGAAATTATCTTGCTGAGAAACGTTGGAAGCTGAATTAACCTCTGGTTCTTGAGTGATTACAACCATTTGAGATGCATTCATAACACAATCTTGCTGGTAATAAAGCTGTTTAAGCCCACTTATCCCCTTTGTACACACAAATGTGCAACTTGTACAAATTTTGAAATGTTTTCAGTGCTCCATGTTGGATTTGATAGCAGAGTACACTGCTGGGATCAAAGAAATGCTTTTTGTCTTGCAGGCTCTGGCTTTATAAGCAGATCTATATACAGAGCCTGTTTCCCTGAAATGGACAACTGACTTTCATTTCAGATAATGTCATGCTGTTGCTTAGGGTTGGATAATATTAGCTAGTAGGCTTAAACATCTGTGAGAAATGAAGAGGATGATAAAGAGCTGGAGAGATCTTGACAGCTATCTAATCCACCTCTCTGTATGTTTTTTCCTTCTAGCATAGAAAAACATAAGTCTAAACAGTCCTTAAATCAGTGACTGAATTCTATAATATTTTATCAAGATATGCAGGAGTACCTAAGCTTGTTTAAATTTTAACTGTGCTCAAACGCAAACGTTCTTGTTGCCATTTGAACTCACTGCTGCTTGGCCTTTTTAAAGTATCTGTAGAGAATGTCTTAGTCTCTTCTTGCCAAGGAGTTTTGACAACTCACATAGAGCAGCATGATGCCTCTTCAATCTTTCCTCAGAGTTAATTATCTCCCTTGAGGCTGAGTATCCACAACTCAGCACAGTACCCTAGCTGAGGCCCTAACAGTGTTGAGTAAATAGCAGAGCGTGTACCACTGCTCTGTTGTATACAACACTCTTGTTTGTGTGTGTTATTTCGTTTAGTTTGGTGGGGAGGGGGGAGGAAGTTCTGTTGTCTAACTCTTCAATGTGATTATGAAAGGAATTGACTGCAATATTTAGGACATAACTGAAACTTTTTGTTTTAAAATGATAACCAGAAACTCAGCAGCCCAACCCTGCGACTTCTGCAACTACGCAAAACACAATTCAAAAACAAGCTGAAAGCAGTGAGCAGCCTCCAGTGATGACGCAAGAGCTACAGCAGGTTACGCCAGCTCCTTCCTCTACAGCTCCCCTGACTGCTTTAATGCCAGCTGCAGTCCCTATAACAAAAGTAAGTTACCTCATAGTAACCAAGGTATTGAGATTATTGTTCCAGACACTAATAGCAAAACCATAGGAGCGATGTATATTGTATTATCTTTTCAAAACTTCTATTGTGATAGTAAGATATCGGTTTTAGCTCTTCTGGGTTGCTGCTGAGTAACTGGGGCAGTACTAATGCTACTAAGGAAGCAGAACTTGTGCTGGTCACTTGGTGTATATTCTAAACAATTACGGTTTAAAAATGTTCTCAAAGAAATACAGTAAATTGAAGATGGTCACTCTTGAAGTGTATTTCTAAGCTTCTGCAGGCTTCACCTAAGTGTAGAAATTGCTCTTTCCTTGAGGGCTATACAATGGCTTTAACAGTAAAATAAAGTTGTTTGTGAGGTCTACTTAATTTGTGTTTTCAATGTCAGTTAAACGCTTGGTTGCCGAAAATAGCATGCTTGCCTCAACACTAACTAGTCTAGACAAGTGCTTACGGCTCAAAAAATAAGTTATTGGTAACTAAGTGGACATTTTGATCTGATACGGTTCTGCATTGGTTTAGTTTTGTTTGCACTCTTCCAATTGGGAATAGGCATATATCAGTCTCTTCCAGTGAATGCTCTCACTTTAATGAAGAGTGAGCATTGAAAAAGCATATTTTATCGCTTCCAAACCAAATACCACCCAAGGTAAAGAAAATAAAAACCTAATCCTTACAGGTAAGGGCCTGCAACCAGGCTTAGAAACTAAGTTACAGTCACTTTCTCTGCGCCAACTTTATAACCTACCGACTTTCTGGTCGGTTTTTAAGCCATTTGAGAAGATTCCACAGCCTGACCTAGAATACACCCTGTTCTTGTCTTTGCCAGTCAATGCCAAGCTCAGTCTTAAATGTAATGCTCTGTAGGTTTCAGTCTGAAGTTGCAAAAATGTGGATTTTGGTAACTGTAGAAGTTATGGTACTTTCTTAGAATTTTTTGCTTAGTTTCAAAGCTGACTGTTCTCTCACTGTTCTGGATACCTGCGTTCTGAATAACTGCAAAATCATCTTCTAGGCTAAAAAAGGTGTGAAAAGGAAGGCTGACACTACAACTCCTACTACCTCAATATTCAGAGCAAGCAGTGAATCTTCTGCAACATTTAATGAAAGAAAAACTGTTAAAACTTGCAGAGGAGAAAAGGAATGTATGATACCAAATAAGCTTCTGAAGAGGGACTTGCCAGATTCTCAACAGTCACCTAAAATTCTTAAAAAGGTTCAGTTATCAGAACAGCTAAAACATTGTAATGAGATTCTTAAAGAAATGTTTTCGAAGAAGCATGCAGCATATGCATGGCCCTTCTTAAAACCTGTGGATGTTGCATCCCTCTCCCTTGGTGAGAACCAAGGGACCACCAAATGCCCTATAGACCTGGGAACCATTAAAGTAAGTATGTTTTGTAGGGGACTGGGATGTGTGTGTTTGCTTCAATAGCTTTTGTATTGAGTGGATTTTAATATTGTTAGCTAAAAATATCATGAAAGCTGCTTCTCCTTTGAAAGAGATAATGGGCACGGAAACTATATACACTTACGCTTTGATTATCAAAGTTCTAAGCCACAGCTTACTGAAGAAAATGCCTTTTAAGCCTTATTGTGACTATGCATATGAGGTGCTTGTAAGCAAGCTGCTAACAAAACATGCTAAATATCTTTTGGTCTACCTGCACAATGCTCCATTCTAAAAAAAGGAAAAACAAAAGAAGATAATTCCATAATGTCAGCTTCTGCTTCAGTGAGAATTTCATCCTTGGTGAAATGCCCTGGAACATTAAACATCAAATACTTGCATGCTACCTTTCACTGTTCCTGTAAAAAAGGGACCTTTCTAGATGGAGATACTAGTGCCCAATGCTTTGCAAACAGTGGGCACATCTGTCTAGTGTTGAACTATTTAGTCAAGTTAAGACCTATTCTTGTGGGGAGAACTGAATTTCAACAGTCTATCAATTAGCTGGAAAACTGGCTTGTGCAGTATAAAGACGGCTCCTTAATTTCCAGCCAATTATTTTAACTCCAAAATGGTTATGGAAGTTGCCTTGTACAAGTATGCTTAGAATCAAACAAGTGGCTAGCACCTGACCAAATATAATCGCCTGAACCTTTTTGTCTTGATCTGAAAAAGAGCTGAAAAGTAGTACTCCAAAGTCCTTACAGCAAGTATAGTTAAACTGTTCAAAAGGGGAGATTTTAGTATTTTGTTAAAGGGACATTAGTGGAAGGAAAAGAAGCAAGTCTTTCTGTGATTGCTTCAGAGCACTATTCTTTTATTTCCTGTGCTGGGGCAAGCTACTTTTGATGCTGGACATTAATTCTTGTTCCTTCTCTATTTTCCTGCCAGTTCATGGTGATATTCTCTAGCTCTAAAGTTAGAAACCCTAAATGTGCATTCATTTTCTTTCCATGCAGAAGAAAATGGACAATTCTGAATATAAAGATACACAAGAATTTGCCACAGATGTAAGACTAATGTTCATGAGCTGCTACAAACATAATTCTCCAGACCATGAAGTAGTTGTTATGGCAAGAAAGCTTCAGGTGAGTTATTATGCAAGTCAGACTGAAAACTAGGTAGGGGCATAAGATTCCCTTGTGGTCAGGTGCCCTGATACAGCATCTACTGATGTTACCAACTACTATGTTGCAGTGTAGTTCTGGAAAACAAGCAACAACTTCTTCATGTTCTTAAACCTGAAAAAGTGCTAATCTCTTCACTATTCCTGAACTCTTTCTATCTTTTTAGGATGTTTTTGAGATGCATTTTGCCAAAATTCCTGATGAACCTCTGTCACAGCCCACAAGAGAAATGACAAAGGCTTATTCCAGTGAGAGCAGCAGTGATGACTCTTCAGAAGAAAAATCATCTGAAGACTCTGAAAACGAAAGAACAATGCGCCTTGCAAAGCTTCAGGAGCAAGTAAGCAACGCTATTTAAACATGCATGACAGTTTTAATCTATAGTGCCATTTGCAATTCTCTGTTCTAAGGCTCAGCATCAAAGGTCATTATTTAAAACAATTCCAGTCTTCTGGACTCTTAACAGAGCTTTGGTTCCTGTTTGGAAGCATCTCCATATGCTATCTACAAGTGAATATTCTCTAAGCAAATACTAACTGTCTATCTACTGGCTTAAAGATCTTCAAAGAAACTTTATTTCCTATGTCTAGTGGGTGGTTTTTGCCTTCCCTTAAAGATCTGACTGCATTAGGATTCTTCATACAACTCCAAAATGCAAGGGGGGTAGAAAGGTGAGGAAAGCAAGATTGCTTGCTTATTCCACATTGAGTGAATCGTGGGTCTGGTACTCCTGCCTAAACTCTGCTCAAATAAGGTCCACAAACTTTTTTTGCTTTAAAAAAATAAAAATAAATAAAATCATGTTAACATAGGATGACAACAGCATCCAGATACTTCACACAGTCTAGTGACATGGGTTTCTAACAACGTCACTTGTTTCAAGTGGCTGAAGAGCTCCATTCTTATGTTCAGTCTTTCAAAGTGTGCTAGTTTCATTGAGTAGTCCTGAGTTCATCTACATAAAAGCAAGCCATTAAATTCTACATAAGAAAGCTCAAGATGAAGTAAAATAGAAGGGATTTCATGCTAATGCTGATAGTATGGCTGTGCTTCATTGGCTAATAATGGGATGTGACTTGCTGCTGTTTGAACATAATGCTTTAACCTGCTGATGTATCTAATCTGGGGGGAAGGGAGATCGGCATTTGTTCTGCAAGTCAAATGAGGGGCAGTCTAGTTTTCAATATTTGTCAGAGTAGTACATACATCATGAATTTATGAATACAGGTCTGCAGAACAACTTAAAAATCCTACAAGACAGCCTTAGCAATAGCTAAGCAAAAGCATTTTAATGGGGTTCAATTAGAATTCTTTCTGTCCTTCTTCCTTCTGTCCTTCTTCCTTCTAACCTCTATGGAGTTTAAACAAATTTGTGTTAGCTTTTTCTCCAGAGCTGTGTTAGTCTCTCCCAACTAGCTATTTCATATCACAAAATATCTTGGATTTATGAGCTGAAGATGTAAATGACCAGTCCCACTAGTCTGGTTCAGGAATTTTGTTAGAGGCATAGCCCAATAAAGCACTTATGCTTCCCAAATGTCTGAAATTAGAGAAGCTGCTGGATGCTCCTACAGCGATTCTAGTGTTTTATCCTTCACAGGACACTAGAAAACATATGCTGAGAGCTACTGTTAGAAAAGCTTACTTAAAACAAGTAGCCTTACATCTTTCTGAAGACCTAGTCCAGCTGTAACTAGTCTATGACAGTAAGATGCTTGGAAAACAAATGTCCTATTAGTATTCGTTCAGATGGCACAAATCTCCTATGATACCTAAGACCAGTTTATTGTTCCTGTTACACTGCCTGAGACTCAAGGGGTTGTTTGTTGATTTCAACAGCTTAAAGCTGTGCACCAGCAGTTGCGGGCTTTGACCAGAACATCCTTACCCAGACTTAAAAAGAAAAAAGGGAAGGCTAAAAGAGAAAAAAGGAGGAACAAGGAAAAAGCTAAGATAAAAAGCCTGATTCAAAAGAAGAAAAATCTAAAACATAAGAAGAAATCTAAGAAGAAACTGTCTTTAAACATGTAAGTGTGGGGGACTTACGTGGGTGTCAAATTATTTTAAATTGCTGTTACCACAGTAAACTTTTTCTCGCAGTCAATCAAAGAAAACCATGCAGCATGTCTTGTTGGCACATAAGTCAGAAGATGAAGATGGTGCCAAGCCTATGAATTATGATGAAAAAAGGCAGTTGAGTTTGGACATAAATAAACTTCCTGGAGATAAGCTTGGGAAGGTAGTCCATATAATACAGTCAAGGGAGCCTTCACTGAGGAACTCTAACCCTGATGAGATAGAAATAGACTTTGAAACTTTAAAGGCTTCAACACTCAGAGAACTAGAGAAATACGTGGCAGCTTCTTTGAGGAAGAGACCAAGGAAGCAGCGTGGTATGTATGTAGCATGAATGATGCTTGAAAACACAGATTTGCCCTGTTTGGCTGTAAGTGTTAACCTCTGTTTCGCATGCAGCTAAAAAACCAACAAAGTCAAAAGAACAACTTAATTTTGAGAAGAAGCAGGAGCTGGAGAAGAGACTACTGGATGTCAATGGTCAGCTAAACCCAAAGAAGCAAAACTTCAAATGTAATGTGAATCTTGCTTTTAGTAATTTGCAATACAATTAGCTTAATGGGATTACTGTCTTGGGCCTGTTTTGTTATCCATCTGGGGAATTTCTCCTCAGAATACTTGAGGTATTAAGCTTCCGTTGCTAGTCTAAAGACTCTTTGGAGGTTAAATCACCTGTGTACCAGCAGCAGCTTCATTCAGTTACTTGTCCTGCCTCAGACCTTTTCCTTATTCTCACACCTAATACTTTATTAAAACAGAAATGATAGCTTTGTCATTTCTGTAGTGTAAGACAAGATATAATGATGGCAGTGGTGAAGTTCATGTTGTCTGGCATCCTCTAGCTGATAGCCAATAGTTAAGAGAAATTAAACCCAGTTGAAGAATGACATCCCCACCATTTATCCTATTCTAGATTAGATAGTCAAAACCTGGCCAGGTGCTTTCAAGTGTGTAGGATTTTTTTGGTTTTGTATGTTATGGACTGAACGTATCTATAGAGCTGTTTGCTGGCACAAGTTTAGCAATACCTGCCACCCCTGCACCCTCTATTTAGATCTTATTTGATCAGGTTATCAATTTTAGATTCAAAGTTCACTTTGATCTCGTCGGAGCTTAAGGGACAACTGATAATTCTGGGAAGCTTTTAAAACTGAACACCTTCTCCCTTATGCTGACATAAACACAACACAGTTCAAAAAAACCTCCCACAGTCTGTATACTTGGTTTGCAGTTCACTTTCTGTGGCTTGTGGAGACCAAAGAATAACCAGCTCTAGTCATGTTTGGTTAGCTCCTTGTCTCACTGCTGCTTTTAGGCTAGCAACAGTTCTGCATCAGTGATAGTTCTGCTGTGTTGCTTTAGGCTTAAGGAATTGCACTAGGGAAAACAACTTGGTTCAGGCTTTTCAATAGCAAAGACAACAATTCAGTACATACTTGACCAAATCTATACTTCTTGATAGTTCTCAGTTGTGGACTGAACAGATCAGTGCAGCTGATGCTACTGATGCAGGTTCACTTGTTCCTCATTAAACTAGTGAGTGCTGTTATTGCCCTTTATTGGATATTTAATAAGCTCCTATGTGAAACAAGTAAGCTGAAATGACAGAAGCAGCCCTGCAAAACGTAGGCTTGCATCAAGCATAAGTTCTGGCAAGTCTTTGCTGTCTGATATATATGATGACTGGAAAACATCCTAGAAAGAAAAACTGCAAGAAGCAGCTAAACCACTTGCATTGGTTGCCTATTGCAACCAAGTGAATATGTTGTGGGGGAGGAGGCAGGCTAGTGAATCTTTACAACCAGCATTTAGCTTAGGGTCTTCCTTGCAAACAAGAAAGCGTGTTTAAGTGATTTGTGTCCAGAGAAATAGCTATACTTGCAGCTTCTCATTTTCAAAACATCACAGCACCATATCTTTAAAATGCTTTTTGACTGCAGAATTATTGTAAATTCTAAGTTAAACCAACCCTGCAGAGGCAAAATAGTCAGATGGTGGGGAGGTGGCAAGAGATGACATCCTACAGTACATATGGCTCAGGAAAGAGGAGAGTTGGCTATAGATAAAGACTTCAGTATGCAAGTCTGGGAACAGCTACAAGCAGAGAAACAACCTCCTAGCAGCTGGAAGACTTCTGGGGAAAACTGTCTTTGACTAGGTCTGAAGGCAGGTCCTAATTTACCTTAGGACTGTGAGTTGAGAGCACCTCTTTGGATATTTCACTCAAGCAGCTATCTTGCTGCTGGTAAATCTCCCTCCCCTATTAAGGTCTCAAATCAATCGCTAAACAGAGCAGATAGGGGCACGGCAGAGGTCTAGGAGCCATGTGCCAGCACAACCCTAACAGGGTAGATCTAGTCTTGTATGTTAAGACTGTTCTACTGCTGAATCTTTTCCTTTTTATCCTGCAGTTGAAAATGATACTGAGCCCAGTACTGGACCAAGCCGACTGAGTGACAGCAGCAACAGCAGCAGCTCCTCTGACTCTGGCAGCAGTACTAGCAGTGCTTCTAGCTCCTCAGATAGTAGCGACTCTGAATCGGGTTAGATAACTTCCTTTCATGGCTGTGCAGGCAAAATATTTGCCTTCTGACTTACTGTCTGTGCTTATTCCAAACGCTTGCTGCTAATTTCAGTCGTTCTTCTAGGCTTGCTTCATGCTTACGGCCCAGTTTCAGCGCTATTAAATGAATGTCTTAAAACCGAATGTTTAAGAAAAAAGAAATTAAAGAAAGCACATGTTTCATTTTTTTTTTTTTTTTTAATAAGCAACTTTAGGAAACAATCTGCCAGTAAGAGGTCTGTATCTAATCTGGAGATCTGGCTATCAGACTATAGCTTACCTACATTTTCATGGGTTTTTTGAGCTTTTTTTAATCTTCTGGTCTGCAATGTGAAGGGAGCCTTAAACATTATTTCCATCTGAAAAAATCTATTTATCAGGGATTTTTTAGATGAGAATTCTTTTTCAAAATAGTTGAGACTTCAATGCACCCAAAACCCTGGGCTGACTCCATAGGATTCTGGAAGTCATAACTCAGATGGTGGAAAAGAATGTTTGGGATGCTACAAATGGCTGTAGCATGGCAGACCCTCGTGGGTAAGGTTTAGCTCCTAAGACTAGGGATGAAAATATCAACAGCATTGACCGTAGGCCCAAACTCTATCCTGGGAAGAGAGGCTGCTTAAGGTGTGTCAAGCTTGTTCAAGGGACACTATAGTGCTTTGCTGTCCAGATACCAGAAAGATGCTTCTCTCTATGCATAGAATCTTATTTTTTAGTCTTCTGGGACAGGGTATCTGCCAAATGAGGGCTACAATGCAGATATGTCTGAGGTAACTCTCGAAGATGAGGTGAATCCTCTGGTTGGCCCCTTGCAGTGTGGGGGAAGCAAGCACAGTAAAGTTGTTGGTAATAGCAAGACCCTGATCCCGCAGAAATCTGCAAATGGCTTCTTTGAATACCCTGGGAGTAGTTCTCTATATAAATCAAGCTAAAGAAGACAAAGTATTCAGGATAAGAATATTCTTATCCTATGTGAGACTCGGCTCTCAAAGTACAACTGCAACTCACACACTGTATGTGTGAATATTGCAACATATGTGGATGCCTGATTTCTTTTTTTTTCCTCCCCCTCTTTCTGCCCACCTTGCTTTATTTGCAGTTACAGAAACACGCTCAAAACAGAAAGGAACCAGGCAGAATTGTCCAATTTCTATGGAACAAGCTAAGGTAACTGATTGGAATGGATATAGCCCTTGTACCCTAACCAAAGTTATTTGTAAATACAATGGTATTGGAAATGACAAAAGGGAATAGGGAATTATGTAATTCCCTATTATGTAGGGAATTATGTTAATAGGGAATAATGTAGCTTGAACACTGCTTGTTCTGTGGGTGACTTAAATGGAAATGTAAAATCTGCTGTTTTTGAAGTAGGTTGTGTAGCTATTAAAGAAATTGGTAGACTGGGAGAACTCCTGAGGTTCTCTTACCTCTTCCAGATACCCTGGCAGTTCAGTGCTGGGTGAAGGAGAAAGGAGAAGACAGGAGGAGAACGCTTTCAAAAAAAGTATAGAAATGACCTAATAAACAACGCAAATGCTACTAAATCACTCTTTCTCTAACTATGGTGGTATTATGAGCAACAGCAAAGTCTTATGTGGAAAGTATTTAATGCCTCTAAGGTCAAATTGCTCTATTCCTGTAAACACAGTGGATGTTAATTCTTGTCAGAGTTATCTCTGCCTTTTACAATTTCCTTTAAAGCTAACAGGGATGGAGAGACCTCAAACCTCAAAGCAAGATCACACACAGCCCTTCATTTTTCTTTCAGACTACTTTAAGTGGAAAAAGCATCAAAATTCCACCTCTATATAGGAAACCAGGTGGTAAGCTTAATAGGATCTCTATTCAGCAGCTCCTTCTGCATCTTCATAAACAAAAGCTGAGGAGAGCAATTACACAAGACATGCTTTTCCAGAAAGCTCAGCCTCTGCAATGCCAGAATAACAAGAACATAGTAATTCAGAACAAAATGCAATGTGAGGTTTTGATAGAATTCTGTATATATCAGACCAGGGTAGTACATTTTACTTCCGGGGGGGCTTTGTCTAGTCATCTAAACTCTTAAACACTTGACTAGTCTTACAGTCAAGCTCTATAGCAGAAATGGTGGTTGAGTAGGAAGATAGCATCGCATAGTTTAAATCTATATTAATTACTGAAATTTCTTTCTAGAGAATACCATTGTCTTTACAGAGGATGTATTGCAATGCTGTTCCACAAGCACAGCCTTCATCTTCTCTTACTAGTAGCTTGCAAAATCAAGGATCATCTGAAATACAGCAGCCATCTCCCAATGTACTACAGAGGTTTCGGCCTTTACAGAGTAGATCCCTTAAATCATCAGAACAAAATACCCAGTCTCCCGCAGGTAAAAATCATTATGGCAAGAAACATCACTTTTTGAGTGGACTTTAAGGAAAGAAGGGGTGGGAGAACTAACGTTGATATTGCCCAAGAAGCTTACCTTGAGGTTTTGGAGGTTATCTATTTGGTAACGTTGAAAGCTCTTGCAAAGGGCATGATTGTAAATACGAAAAGTGTCAGCACTGAAGATGAGCTGGGATTCTGGTTATTGGGGCACTTGTGGTGGGGCGGAATAGTATTAAAATAGAGTGCTGTTCTTCCTCATTTCCCATTCAGGGAAGGGAGGCAGCAACTCCTCCCTGAGTTGGAGATGAGATGGAGAATGATGTCCTAATGAACCTAGGGCTAGAAGAAATGCTGAACACCTTAGGGCTGGAGTTAGATGCTTAAACTCACTATCACCACCTTCAAGTCCATACCTGAAATACCTGTTAGCTGAACTTAAGGCTTTGGTACCATGGACCTTCTGACTTGCTCACTGTTATCTAGACATGCATCAATATGAGTTGCTACTTCTTGAGTTTGTTTCTAAGCTGCTACTTCTTTCCCTCCTGCATTTTAAAAGGTCTAATAACCTTAGATACTTCAGAGTTATTGGTAGAAGACAGTTTGAGCTGATAGCTGAGAAGCTAATTACAAACTAATTAAAAATCTCTCCTAGCAGAGCTAGTATACATATCTTCATATCTAGCTAATCCACAGTTTTAAACACTGACCTAATTTTGAGATGTTTTAAGACTGCCCTGTGTCTGATTGAAGTCATACATTTCCCTTCTTTCCTAGGTATAATCACAGCTGTATCTGCTCTGCATGATGCTCCAGCCCAGCAAATGCTGCAGAGTACTCCAAGGACAAATAAGCCTCTTGTCACCCCATGTACTCATGCTGTACCAGAGGTGAATACATAGCTCTCTTCAATGGATTCATCTCAAGTAGCTTTTTTTTTCCCCAAGTATATGCTTGCTCCTTTGAATATGATCTGATATTGCAGTACTTCTGGCTCAGTTTGACACAATGAAGGTCACTTTAGGTTTTTAGCAAATCACTCATCTAAAATCCCACTAACAAAGTGATTCTTATTACCCTTTAATAGGACATGAATTCATTTCCTGTTGGCCCCTACACAAAAGGGAAGAGTTCAGCTGATTAACGTATCACATGTCTAATACAGTATAAAATGGTTTTCTCCTCACTTAATGCTACAGCTTAGGCTCCTGTAACCCTTGCAGAAATATAGGCCAGAAGCCCACTTCATAAACCAGCAAAAGTGAGATAGACAGTTTATACTACTATGTTTTTGTTCTCTAGGAATATGAATCTCAAGCTCAGTAGTAGTGTGAAGACCCTAGAGGCTACCTCTTGGATAAGTGTGTTTCTCTCTTGCTTCTCCTAGAGCATGGAAACTGAAACTTTCAGGAGCATAGATATGAGGTTACAAAGTATTTACCCACAGTCCATTTCTATCTTAAGCCTTTCTTGGAGAGTGCCCTGGTTAGAAGGGCCTCTGTTCTAGACCCAAGGAAAGTGTTTTTGTTTGGTTTTTTTTTTGATGTTGCTGCAGCAGTATATCTTCTATCTTGGCATGTATAACTATCTACGCATGTTTTTAAATATTATTCCTTTGGCCAGGACTTCATAGTTTTTATTTTCCAAAAGGGGTAGAAAACACCTCTTCTCCTGGGTATATGAATACAAACTTATCTTGCAGGAACAGAAAAGGAACTTGCCCTATCCACTTGCACACACCTTCCAAGGTAGCAAGTAGCACATGTTACGAGATTCAGGCTTGTGTAATCCCTTCCCCAGTTTAAGGGCTGATCTTCCACAGCCCTACAGATCTGCATGATCTTCCACAGTAAAAAGGCACCACTGAACTAAGGTAATTCAGGTGTTCTTCTCTCTGATCCATAAGCCAGAGTGGGGCAACTGGGTTTACAACAGTAAGAGACAAATTCTATTATGTTGCACCATGTAAGGGTTAAAGAGCTTATCCGTTTCTCACTCTACCTCCTTCATCACTTGTTATCTCAGAGTGGTTTGCACTCCTAAATCCCAGGTGTTAACATAGGACTTCCTTTGGCTGTCATAAATATGAATGAAATCAACTCTTTCCTGCTGTTTATATAAACTAGAACTGCAACAATTAACTACTCTAAGCTCTAATACTGCTACTGTATAGTAAGAACCCACATGTTAAGCATTTTAGGGTATGTTTTGAAGTCTCATTTCCCTTCTAGGTATCTGATACAACTTCCCAGGTTGTTACTACCCGTTGGACTAAACAAGTTGAGAAAACATTAATAAATCCAGACAAATCAAGTAAACTTCAAAACACTGCCAGTGAGAAAGCTGCTGACTCAAAATCCATAAGTCAAGAACAAAGTATGTACTGTCATAATAAAAAGTGTAACTAAGATCAGAGGTATAGTTAAAATGTATATGTGAACCTGACTTAAATAAAATGCTGAACACTTGTTCTTTAGCAAACTGATTAATGTACAGGGGGACATTTTTCCCTTGCTCTTTCTTTTTCTTGACTACTTGCTGCTTTTTTTTTTTTTTCAAATATAAAGCTAAGTTAAATAGATACTTTGTTCTTGTTTCGTGTTAGAATATATAAAGCCAATGATTTTCTTGATTTAAGAACTTAACTGCCTCAGCATAGGACTAGCAATAGGTAACCTAGTTTTCCAGGAAGCTTGAGAGAACTGATGCTCCAGTCTGTTATGTAGAACTTGGCTGGGCTTTAAAATGTTTTCTGCTGAAGATCCTTAGCACTCTTCTGCCAGGGAGCTTGTTTTGTATGTATTGAGTTACTACCTCTGGCTCTTGGAGGTGACAAGGATCTGCTAGAGTAAAGGAATGTCAAACAGCTCTTCATCATAGAACAAAATGATCAAACTCATTGATCCTGTAACTATTACAATAAAGAAAATGGTTAGTGGCTAAGGCACTGTACTATTATGCTTATGTAATACTGTGGTACTTCATGGGTCACTATGCCTAAGGAAACTTGAACACAATACTTAAAGCAGCCAAGATACCAAACTAACCCACATGAATAAGGGGATTTGAAAAGGCTCCCTGAAAGCTATGCTTTTTACAGGGATGCATCAAACTAAAGATTTCTGAGGTGCAGATTGATCATCTGTGCTGCTAATGTCCTACTAGTTTCTAGAAGGAGAGAACCAAGTGTTATCTGACACGATGTTTTCCTTTCCTCCTTTGAGCCTTACCTCTCCAAACTACCTGCATGTTGTTGAACAGGGGAAGGAACAGGCTTCTGAAAACTTGGTGAAATTTAAAGGCACAGCCTTATAACCTAACTAGCCAAAGAATAATCCTGGATAATTAAGAGTTGTATTATATCAACTCTAAAAATGGAGACTTAACTCTCTATTGCTTTATTTAGTATTTGCATGCTCTTAACACTCCTATCCATACAAAATGCTGATCCTTTTTAGGTTTGTAGCAGCTGGAGCTGGTAAATGTTTTCCATGGATTCAGCAATTGATTTTCACCAACATTTTTGGGTCTTTTGGAATTTGAAGTTCCTGCCCTATATACTGGATGACTAACTGCATCAAGATTATGGTGTTGTCTGAATATGTTAAAGGATTGGGAAGGCCAGTGGGAAGCCAAATTGTTTACATGGGGGGGGGGGTGGAGGGAGAAGCATACCTAAAGCTACTGGGAAAGCTTGCTTCCTTCCATACCTATTTACTGTTTCATATCTATTTACCCTAATTTTCTATTCCTAATCTTCATTTAATCTGCGTTGTCCTGCTATCTTTCTCTCCCGTTTTCAATTCTGCATGTGCAGAGAACAGTACAGGGGCTCCTACCTCTAACACGGGAATTATCTAATGACCCTCTGTCTCTGAGTACATTTGAACTTCAGCCTTATGTTGTGTAACACTGTTCTGTGACTGTAGCTACCTGTCCCCTTCCATGATACAGTGGTGCTTGGTTGTTCCTGTAGCGATATGTCCCAGCTGTGCTCAGTGTTGTCCTCGGAGGCTCCTTCTACGATTAGCACCTCGTGTGGAAAACTGGAAGGGGAAAAGAACAAACCTGTGGGGTGTGTGTGTTTTCAACAACAGTAACAAACTGCCAGTTTGCGTGGCCTCAAATCTGTTGATTAAAAACTGCAGAGTGGTTAGTACTACATGCATCTATTTAGAACAAATCAGGGAAACTAACTCTAGTTTGGTCTGGATACCTAAATCATTTGAATTTTGTAAAGGATTCTACTGTCTCAGGCATTTTTATGAAGTTCCCTAGATCTCTTTTTTAAAAAAAAAAAAAAAAAGGTATTTTGATTTTTAGGCTGTGACACCTCTGATACTTCTGATACTGTGGGTGCTGGTTTGGTGCTATGTATCACTAAACTCTACTGGCTTGTTAAGAAGTTTAACTTGTGAAATAAATTGGTAATTGCAGCCTTTCGTTCAGATTAAGAAACAGGGCTTTTCAATGAAAGATTCTGTAAAGGCTGATGTTACTATAAGAGATGCCCTAGCTACTGTTTGCAGTTCATGGCTGCAAATGCTTTTGTCACAAAGCCTCTAGGTTTCTGTGTTATATCTAGATCTTTAGCTACACATTGACTATGAACCTAGACTTGCTTCAGTTTGCTTCAGGTGGTGGTTCCTGGCAGGTATTACAGGTCTACTGGAAATCTGTAGGAATAACAGACGGATCAAAACAATCTTAACAAGGGGGATAGGCGTGTTCTAGGTATGAAGGTCTTGCTTTGTTTTGGAGTACTCAGTGTTGCTGTGCAAGGTTTCTTATTTGAAGATCGCAGTTGCTTGTATGAGGATAAATGAGGAGGGAAAAGAAATGCCTGTTGTATTAAGAGAACCACCTTAATACACTAGTTCTCTACTCTGGAGGAGAGTAAGTCCAGAATTTGACCAAGATATATTTTGATTAAACCGGACCTGGAATCTAGGAGGAGAACGGAGATATCGGGATTTGGAACCCTCATCAATAGGACTATAGAGGTCTTCCTTCCTATTTTACTTCTTCACATAGTAAAAGCCCTCCTGCTCCCTTGTAATTATACCATCTCAGAGATAACTGGTTTTGGAGGCTGTGGGTCTTTTTGCAAATTGTACTTACAACAAACTTCAGAGTTTGAAATGCTGTTTTCAGCATTCTGGATTCAAATATCTAAACTTTATTATTTGGGTGTTTAAAAAAAAAAAAAAACCCTACCCACACTATCTTCAGTTTCTTACTATGCCTTTAATTAAAAAAAGCCTCAAAATGGAACAGAAGATCATTGTTATAAGATACGTGTGCTGTGTTTATACCTGGTTCTAAAATGGTGGCTTTTTCAGAGTACATCTAGACTTTCATCTTGGAGGCTGTTTAAAGAGTTTTTATACCAAAGTAACATGTAAGGTATAAATTACAATACACAGCTTTTGCTAACTGTGTGATATTTTGGCAAATTCCTAATATTCCAAAAGTCTCAGGCCTACCCTAATGACTGTAGCAAAATGCATCTGTTCCTGCTTTTGAAATTCTTTTTTTTTTTTTTAAAGGTTCAGTAAAAGCACATTTCATACAGAATAGTAAGGCTCTCTTGCAATAACAGCAAGTATCAGAAGCGTTAGTACTGTTAAAATACTGTTAAAAGTTAGTACTGTTAAAATACTGTTAAAAGTTAGTACTGTTAAAATACTGTTAAAAGTTAGTACTGTTAAAATACTGTTAAAAGTTAGTACTGTTAAAATAGTAGTTTTAGTTTGTCTATGTAAATGGCTTTCCCTTCCCTCATAATAAATGGACAATAGCATGAAGTATGTATGCATCCTGCTAGTGGAAATATAATGACGAGCTTTTACTGGCTGACCCACTTTCTTAAACAAGTGGAAATAGGCAGACTAGAAAGCTTTAGGCAGAACGAGCTTACGTGATGAATGAGAGATTCCTAAGTAATGCTGGAATCAAAACGGAAGAGTGCTCGAAAGGAAGGGACAGGAGACAAGTAACCTACAAGCTGCTGCAGTAGAAGACTTTCTGCCCAAATTATTTGGGTGTTTTGCTGAGAGCCCTCCTTAATTTCCCATCTAGACTTGTTTAACTTAATGATTCCTTTGCCTGCCCCAAATGGGAAAGAACCTCTTAAGGTCAACTTAAGGAAACATACCTGTGTTTGGGAGTGTTTCTGCTATTCAAAAAAAAAAAAAAATCTGAAGCGTAAATCCTTAAGCTAATTTTTAGAATGACGCTTCAGTTTGAGGTGACATAGTCCATAACAATCAACATATCACTGAAAATATTTTTTTTTTCCTCCTTTCCTTCCATCAGGTCATTCCGACTCACCTAATGATGGTAAAAACACACCAGAGCCAAAATCCCAAGTTCTTCCTCAAAAGGTAAGAGTATTGCCTTAATCCCGTTTGAGGAGAAGAATCTGGATATATGCCCACTAGGATTAAAAGTTCCCTACCACAGGTGGTTCTCTATAAATCCTGTCTCTTATGATTTAAATACTTAGTGCCCGATAAGTCTTCGGCATTGTCATAACCTGTACAGCTTTCCCTCTCATTTGTAGTGCTAAACAAACATAAATATCTCTGAACTCTGACTATTTTTGAAGGTAAATTATATGCAGGATTAACTTCAAATTAGCACATCCATGTTATGTCATTAATGTGGCTTCTCTGATCTAGTTTTCCTATTTATACTACTAGTGCACCTTTACACAGTTTTAATTTTCAAGTTATTAGTCATACTATTTAATCCTTTATCTTGCTAGTAACAAAAACAATGGATAGTATGTCCTTGCAGAGTAGCAGTGGCATAAAATCTTGAGTGCTGTTGAAAAACCTGTAGTGAAAAAGGATCACATGCTTTTGACTATGGCCCCACCATTATGACTGGGGGACCACTTAAAAGATTTTTATGAAAACTCTGTATATAGTCTGAATTAAAGTGCTTCTAGAATTTTTCTTTAGGCATTTAGCTTTCAGAAAGCTATTAATTTCTTGATATCGACTCCAAAAATATGCATTTCCTTCATATGCTTGGATCAAATTGCAAAGATTTTGTTCCTCAGTCAAACAAGTTCTCAAAGCATGTGAATTTCTGCTAGAAAGTAATACTTCTGAAGAAGACCAGTTTTAGTCTATTCTGTGAAGGAAAGGCTAATAGGATGAAAAAAAACACACATACATATTTAAAACAAACAGAAAATCCACAAGCCTACTATATTGCTATTGTTATATAAGGAATATTCATAAAAATGGGTGTCCTTAGGATTAAAAACCTGTCAATGCTCCTCGTGTAAGCACAGTCTTGTAAATTCATGCTTTCAGGAATTAAAAAATGGGTAGATGGGACCTTAGAGGTAAGGGAGTGGGTAAAAAATAATAGCTACAAATGCTAATGAGCGCAAGCCATTTTTCCAAGGAATCTCAAAGCTGATGAGAAAACATACTGAAGTCTGATTAGATTGCTGTATTTGCGCTAATATTCTATTGAAACAAAGAAACTGTTGCAGATATTCTGAAGCAGATTCGGTCAAAACAACACTGTGCTCATGTAAGAACTTAAGCACGCAATGGATGAGGGAGGAAAAAATCCTTAATTGTTGCAGACTATTTTTGCCTTTTTTTTTTTTTTTCTCCCCCATCAGGACACAGGAGTTAAGAATATAGATTCTTGGGTAAGCTTATGTAAAAAGATGATGCTTCCAGCTCCAATAAAAACATCTGCCGAGAGCTTCAAACAGTTCAGGAAAGCAGCACTAGAGAAGAGGAGCGAGCAAGCACAGGAGTTAACAAGGCCACTGGTGCAAGCTGAAAGGGAACTCCAAAACCTTCCTCAAGGAAGAGAAAGGTCTGCAACCACATATGCTTAAACATTACTCTGTCTTTTGCCTGTTTCAGTTATGTGCAGGGTCTACCATCTGGATAGCTAGAGGGCTTTACGGATTTGTTTTTGCTTAAAAACAGGAAAAAAATGACCTTAGGCTGCTTAATTGATGCAGTATAATTCTTCAACGCTTATGTGTCATCCACGATGGGAGGCTCAAAGTCAGCTTTAAGAACTGATAATGCTATTATTTAAAGCTGTATAATAAATATGGCTGTAATGGGTAGTGTCACAGCTGAAGAAACATCTGGCTAGTGGTAGTAACTGTGCTGTAGCACTGGTGTGATGTTCCATGGTCGTGCTGAGAATATCCTCTAAGAAAATAAATTTAGTAAGGCAGCTGTGTGTTTTAGTAATGACTGGCTGAAAAATCTTTACGGAATGTGCTGTGTATTTGAGGGATACTTGTTTAGTCAAAGGAAAACCAACAGCTTTTTAATTAATACCTTAAGCATGTGTTGCTTACCCCCAGAAAGATTGTTACTGGCTGGCTAGAAAGTGAATCAGATTAGGCAATAGCTGTATGTCAGATACCTACTTGAAGGGCATGAAAAAAAGCTGTACTACTCTGAGCACAACTGTAGTTTTCTTCTCTGCATTGCCATAAAGAAACATATTTAGTAAGCTACTGACATGGCACTCATCAACAGTAATTTGTAGCTATTTTTTAAGTATCTCTTTTAGTGAGTACCCACATCTGCATCCCAGTCTGAGGTCTATTATTATGCTGAGTGGTATAAGTGACTGCCTACTAATTACTGCATTGCAGAAATAGCTTAGAAAACTGTGTGATACCTTTTTGACACGCTGCTTTCAGAAATATTTCCCTCTTCAGTACTTTTTCCTGTCTGGCCCTGTGGAAGGTAAGTCTTAAGTTGGTGCCTAAATTCTTTTGCTTTATTATCCCTTCACTGGTGTCTTTGAATTGCTTGTTTTTGGAATGCGTTATCTCAGTAACTTGAGTATTTGAAAAAGACTTGGGAGCAAGTTGTTTAGAACGTACAGCAAAGAGTCAGGGCACCTTCAGCGGCTACTGGTTTCCATGAGGAGGAAATTCATCCAAGCCCATGAGCTACATCACTGTATCCCTCTCCCCGAGAGAGGGACAAACATTTGGACCCCTGAGCAGCTGCCAGACTTGATGAGGAGCTGGAATTCCTCCACGTTAGCATCTTGGCTCTAAATTCTAAAGAATCCCAGTTTTGGGAACCCCAATGTTTTACATTCACGATGGTCAACCTGGAATACTGCAACACACGCAAAAAACGTTGGCTTTTGAGGTTTTGTTTAAAGTCCTCCCTCTCTAAAAGGAATCAACGCGCTCCTGAAGACACCTTGCATCAGCACACCTGCTTCAGTGCGACTTACTAGAGATAACTGTGCAACTTGTGCCTAAAAACGTAAGAGCAAACCGTCTCAGCTGACGGTGCCAGTGCTTTACCTCCTCACCAGCACAGAACCAGTGAGTTGTCAATTCTAGGTAGCTGTCAAAGCATATTGACTTTTCTTCTTCTTGGAAAAAGTTCTTCCTCTTTTTTCTTCCTAGCTTGTCACTTGTCCTTTGCTCTCTTTTATGTCTTCTACAAATATTTCTCTGTGAGCTCCTAGATGCTAAAGATTCATTGGTGGATGAGACTACTTTCTGTTAAGATAACCACTCCATCATTCTCTAATGCAAGAGAAGCATCTATGGAACAAGTCATTAGGGATGCTTGCCTGAAGTTTGTAAAGTCTATCTCAAATAACTAATTGAAGAGATGGAAGATGAATACAAAGCATCACTAGCCAAGGAAGTACCAGAAACTTAAGTATATATATCTTGCAAGGAATGTGATTTCAATAGAAGTTTTATGTACCACACACAAATCCTATGTGTACAGAATGGAACATAGGGAACCTTATCTTCCTACAGCATAAAAACTGCATGCATATACCTCTCACAAAGGGAAATTACTATGAATCAACATATAAAATGGCACCATGCTTTAAGTACTATGTGCCGATTTACGTGCAGAATCCTCTTCAGGTGCAAACATTTGTTCTGAAGAAAAAGAAGAATCAATTTTTACCCTATACTTCTTTCTTTAAGGGGCCATGAAGGGGCAGGATTGGAAGCCATGGCAGTGAAAGCTTTTGAGGCCCAAAAAGAAGAGTGCAAGAGCAAACAATTGCCAGAAGCTAAACAACACTCTCTTGTTCAAGACCGTAACTTGGCTAGAAAAATGGAACAAGAACGTAGAAGGAGAGAAGCAGTAAGTTGCTGGCTTTCCAGCTAATTTTGTGTCATTTTTAATAGAGAAGAAAATATGCTAGTTCAGGTCCTTAATTTGAAGGACCTGAACTACTGTAAATAACAGAACTATACTAACTGAAAAGTTAGTCCAGAAAATGAAATAAGTTTTCAAGTAGTGCACCACGAAAAGCTACCTACTTGGTCCCGTTACTCTCATCAGCTTAGAATGACTTCATAGTAAAATCAAATTTTAAAATGCTGTTACTAGTCTCTGGATAACTTCAAACCTGAAGTCTTGCAAGCAGGCCATCCTCTCCCATGTACTGCATGTTAGCAGAAGGTACTACTCATATTGTCCTGGTCTGAAATATCAAAACTGAGCCTTTTATAAAGTATCTTACTAGTTTTATTGGTATCAGTGAAGAATACTTCAGTCATTACTATTTCCCAGATTGTGTGTGTGTGTGCTTTTTAATTCATAACATTGTACAACTGAATGTAAGAAATGCAGTGTGATTAAAAATCACACTAGATTCAGATAAGGTCTACTGAAGCTTTTATTTTGTTCAGCTGTTTTCAGAGAGAACTTAAACAACATGCATATGCAAGCTTGATGTGACAGGGGAAGGGATTTTTTTTTTTTTTTTGGGGGGGGGGGGGGGGGAGAAGGATTTCACTTTTTTTAGGTCTTCATAGTCTTTTATATTTGACCTGCATGGTATTCGTTACACCTGAATGCTATGAAAATATCTTGATTTGCTTTCTTACAGATGACTTGTACAATTGATATGAATTTGCAGAGTGATATTATGGCAACATTTGAAGAAAATCTTGAATGAAAGCTGATAGTTCATGCAGAACTTTGACACTACTACAAACTGTACAAATTTGAAAATGTACTGGTTATAAGCTTAAACATTAAGACCACTTTAAAGAGTGTGTAAGCTGCTTTAAAATGCTTAATATTAAAAGCTTATTGATACTTGAAGGATTTGTTGCTTGTTTATATGAAATCTATTTGTTGCTAGGCAGTGGAGCACAGTTGTTTTTTGGACTACTGTTGGGTGTGTTACGTGTATATATAAGAGAGAACATTATTATCTTGATTTTTAATTTAAAATTTGTTTTAAAAACAATTATTTTTCAGAAGTACTTGAAAATCTTTTATATTGAGCATAGCTGGATTCTTGGCTTTGACTGTATTAAGTCATAATATACTAAATATGCACCTATAAAACTACTCTAAGCCAAGGTCTCATCAATTATGTGGTTGTTATTAAAATGGTCACTGTCACTACAATACTTGTACAACATCTGGACTGTGACAAAAGACCTTTATAATAATGATTTCTGCAGAGTATATGCGTTATTTGTAACCAAAAAACAACAATTCCTGGAGCTCTAATTTCAGCAACAAATCCACCTCATTTGCAAATTCTGTACTTGCATGTCCTTTAAGACACAGGCATGTTGATCTTCTGTTTAACATACGTTGTTAATACAACATGGATAAGTGTGCGTGCATGTTTGGCAGACATTGCTAATTACCTACAGAAAGAAATTAACTAAAATAACCTCCTTCTGGCTCAAGTTTGACAGGCTATCTGATAACGAAAGACTTCAATGTTGGGATACTTGCCTGAAGCAGAAATTGGAGCATAAGAGACCTATATTCGTGTAGATTGCACATAGCTATCTCATATTAAGTACAGGAATAATAAAACTTCTTTTTTAGAATTCTAAACATCAAAATGAAATGTGTATTATAAAAACGTTGGGTGGAAGGGGACCCCTGGAGATAATCCAGTTGAACCTCCTACTTAACTCGCTCTCCCCCCATGGGCACTCCACTGCCTCCTGGGGTTGCCTGTTCCAGTTCTGCACCGTCTCCTAGTGAAAAGACTTTTCCTACTAAGCTTAAACTGCTGACTTTTACCTGTGCCCCCTCCATCCTTTTTTTCCTCCACCATCTATCATTGCCGGGTAGAGTTTGACTCTATCATATCTTACTATTCCAACAGCTGTAGGCTACTTTCTTGCTAGTATGTTTTCCAGGCTCCTGACTATAGTGCTAGTGTTGTTGGACCATCTCTCTTTTTTTCCTCAAATTCTTTAACTACGGGGTCCAAGCCCTGAAGAATGTTTTAGGTACAGCTGCCTCCATGCCAAGTCGAGGAGGAATAATACACTCTCCTTAACTTGCTGGCATAGTGCATACTTATAAGTAGTGAGGGAGAGCCTACACTTGGCTCAAACTCAACCTGTCATCCCTCATCACCCTCAAGTTCTTAGCAGGACTCCTACTCAGCCAGCCAGTACTGACACATGAGGTTATTCCAAGCCTCATGGCACAGTGACGTCTCAACCATCTCCTGCAATTCAGTACTATCTTCAGATTTCGGTTGCCCGTGAAGATGTTGAACAACATAGGGCTTGCTATTACTTCTTGAGCTGTTCTGCTTGCTAGTGGCCAACAGCTAGCTACTAAGCTGTTGATTACTATCCATGAGCATAGCAATTTAGATGTTTTTCAGCACATTTAACAGTCAAATTGTCCAGCCTATGCTTCCCTGGCTTTCAAATGAGAATGCTGTGGGATTTGATTCTAGAAGACCCAAAGTCAAAGTATTTTACCCCAGCTGCTCTGCCCTAGTGCACAAAACTAGTCACTTCATAGAAGGCAATCAGCTTGGTGAAACATAATTTGGAGTTGTCAAAAAGTGTTGACAGTTTCTGATGATCTTCCTGTGCTTTGCTTGGAAATGGATTTCACGTGGCTGTGTGGAAGCCTCTCTAAAGTGAGACTGGACAGCTTGTAGCTCCCTAGATAGTGCTCCTTTCCTTCTTTCAAGATAGGTGCAATGTAAATTCTTCCCAAGCACTTGCTATTTTTTGGATGACAAATGATGGCCTTTCAATCACATTAGTCAGCTTGTTCATCACCCCTGGAGGAACATCCATCCAGTTCCATGGATCTGAATGCTACTTGTCTGCTTAGTTTGCTTAGTCAGGTGGTCTGTGGAAGACCCTCAAAAACATGCTCAATGCTACTTTCCATTTTGATTGTGATCCAGAAACTCTTGATAGACCAGATGTGTCTCGATTCATACTGCAGCTCTGTATAAAGCAGCTCAGTTACAGAGACCACAATGGTGCTTCCCCATATATCTTTCCTAAACGCTACGTACCCCTTTTGACAGCACTCCAGTCATGTGAACTACCTCAAAAGTCCCTGATTCTAATCGCTTTATAGTCCTCTGGCTGCACGTAGGCTTTCAGTTCTGCATATCTGTTAACAAGGCTCTCTACATTGGTGTCCAGACACTTTTGGGATGCCTATGAATGCCATCCCTTCTGAAGAGGAAAACTAGCTTCCTTTGTAGCTTTCTCCCATCCATACCTCCTCTGTTTATCTCTGGTCATTTATCTCTGGTCTCTCCTTACAAACAGTTTAAATATAGTTTAAAGCCCTTCTTGCTCTGCTAGTAAGGCTATTCATTAAAGTATTCTTTACTGTCTTTGCCAGGTGACTTCCATCTTCTTCAAACATAGTATCATTATCAAAGAACTCAAAGCTTTGCTGACAATGCTAGCTTTGCTGTCAAATATTGATCTGCCAGCTGCATTTGCTCCTACATAGACCTTTTCCTTTGACCAGAAGAATTGATGAGAAAAATCACCTAAACTCCTGGCTCACTCTCTCTTGCGTTTGGAGCCCTTTGGTGGTTACCTTCGATCTGCTCAAAGCCTTCACCCATCATGCAGATGTGAAGCAAGGTAGTTAGAAAGGCTTTGTGAGTATCAAAAAGCATGAGCAAGTACGAAACCTCTTGGGTCTGTAGGGCTAATAGGGTCTGCAAGTCCACTAGAATGTGTTTTGAGATCCCTGTCTACTGCTGGCTCTGAATTTTCAGATACAAGAAAAAAAATGCACCTAAACACATAAATGACAGCTAAAGCATGACTAAAACGGCATTCCGGTCCTTCAGGTAGGAGGCTGATGAGGTACTGCTAGCTCCAAAAGACCTATTCTGCCATAAAACTGTTCCGTATCTTCTATTTCTGCCATTGATGAAACAGTAATATTTGATTAAATAGCAACAAGAGTATGCATTAACAAATGCTCAGATATCGAGGTATCACCCCCTGAAATATCCTGGGCAATTCCTCTTACGTGAGCCCTATCTGGATGCATGCTCAGGTGTCCACTGTCTGCAAGATTTGAGTACTTGCCTAGGAAAGGGATTTGGGGTGAAAGACAGGTAGAGTGGTTCTGTTAGTTAGGACATCTTGTTGCACATCCACATCAAAGGTAATATAGCCCTGCCTTCGTTTTTAGTTTGTATGTCATTAATAACTGTTTTTCCTAAAATAAAACATTACAGTTCACATTCACAGCCCCCTACCTTGCCCTCATCTGGACATATTTTCTGACTGGGCTAATGCAAGCTCAGGATCTCTTGCTTTGGAATTAGCAGCTGATAGAAGGGAAGAGGAGAATTTATTCTCTGCCTTTCATCCATCCTATATAACTAATGTGTGTTGCTAATGGTATAAATTGATACTCTTGTCCATTTGAAAACTAATTCCTGCTTCTGTAACAACTTTTCCTTAGATCATAGCCTCACCTGCTCAGCAGCTAGGTGTGATATTAGCCTTATCTCTTACTAATCGTGACATACAGGCGAAACCACTCACTGTTATTTCACGTCACTGTATATTGTCATGAGACTTACAGTCACAATTTCAGTGGGGATATAATAATTTGATACGCCTTCTATTTGCAACCTGCAGTTCACTTAAAGAAGGTAGTAAGTTCCTACGTACACACAGAAGGCTGAGTTCAGAGGAAAGGAAGAGGCCTCCCGATGTAAGAAACGAGTGGCAAGCCTAGAATGGCTGCATTTGCCCAAAGTACTCACTCGTCACCACACTCAGGCAAGCAGGAATACTCCTTGTACAGATACAGTCCGCAAATAAAAATGATGCTGCTTGAACACACTAAGTGTTGTCAGTTGCCTAACTATTAAAACGTGTACAAATTTCTGCTATGATACTATTAAGTTACCTTGATCATCATTATTTGTGAAAATAGCTGCATTGATGTGGCATGTTTGTACTTGTAAAATTTTATCTGCAACTGAGAGAGTTAGAAGCTTAAGACAGCAAGGTAAGAGAGTTAAAAGCTTAAAAGACTGCCTCTGTCACTAACGAAAAGAATATGTTAAATTTTTTACTATCAATCAGGCCTTGGTCAGGCTGGAGGCAGAGTCAGTGACATGCAAAGTTGTCCTCTTTTTTCTCTGAGAGAAACAGGAGTAGTTGAACCGACAAAAGATAAGTAGGCAGATGGCACATCATGGAGAGCAAAGTACGCTTTCAAAGCTGGTAAGACAATCTGGCCTGGGGTTTGTTTGGCTTGGCACCCATTAGAACAACAGTTTAGAAGCGAAGATGAGAAAATCAAAATATAAGGATGCCAAAAAAATAACAGGTTGTAGTCCCTACTTTCTCAATTTTATTTATTCACATTTGCTAGCAGTTGACAGGAGAAATACAGAAGATTCTAGACTTTGTTTCACAAAATGCTAGAAAATGCGTGGAACATGCTTGACTGGCACAAACTGGTTTGCCGTGTGCAAGTAGCTAGCATGGTCTTGCAAAGATAAAGAAAGTGTTCCTTAATAAAAGAGGAATTCTACTGCTTTCTTGACAAATAGGTCAGCTTAGGTAGCTCAGCTTGAAATGCCCAGAAATACTGAGTCAGGGTGTGCTGAAGGCGGGGGAACCATTTCACTGTGCAAAAGCTGTTCAGAACTGCTAGGTCTCCAGCAGTGTCTTACTCCCAGTTCTGCTACTGGATCCCTATCTAATAGTTCAAGACTACATCACCAAACTTTATAGGCAATTGAAAAACTTGTATATCATTTAGGAATTGGACATAAAACTATACAAATCAAAAGGAAAAGTTTTGATATAGTTTGTTATAGAAATCCAGGGTATGGTTATCCCATTGCTTTTGATTAAAGGCTATAAAATGAGGGGGAAGGGTTAACAGCTGAGAAGAGCTAACAGTTTAAAGGGACTTTAGGGTTTCTGTGAACCAACCACGTTCCAATTTCTTCCACTCTTCAAAAGCCCTGAGGCAATGCATGTGAGACAAATGCTAGGGCTAATAAATCATATATGGACAGCATGAGGGTATGAAAGATGGAAGACTGCAAAGACACACGTCCATCAAATGGCAGTAAGCACTCCAGATAGTACTAAGTGTGCTAGCACTTAGCGGACCCCAGAGCACTTTAAGAGGATGAAAGATATAATCTGCATTAGCACAGGCAGCGCTAATGTGACGGTAAAATGAGAACCACGCTTGACCCTCTGCTAACAGCTCTCTCACAAACCAGGTCTGCGCACATTCACTTGAGTTTGTCTAGGAACTATGACTTGCACCATTTAGAGATTCTGATACAATAACCCTGCCTCAGATCTATAAATCAGCAAGCTTTTCCACCGTTCACGACTCGACTCATTCCAGCAGAAAAAGGTTACAGGGAGGAAAACACTTGGACACTGGCACCCCTATTCAATCCACACCTGCAACTCTTCCGTAAGTCTAAACTACTCAAAGCCCACCTTACCTAAAAACTGCATAATCAGCATGATGGCTCAAGGAAATAAAGGAAAGACTTAAGTCTCTCTGTTCTTTTAAATACACTTCTTGCCAGTTACTGTAGTTCTAACAGGTTTGTGTTTTTGCCAATCTCATTGAATTTTATACCGCGTTATGTTTTCAAAACTCAAAAGGAAAAAGACACCTGAATGTGTGATAGACACATGAATGTGTTGTCACATGCTAACATACAAATACATTGCAAAAATGTCCTCAGTCCTGAAAATGGAAGAGCAAGAGGAAATATCCAAGCAAAAAAAAATCACCATAAATAAGGAAGCAGTGATGATGTCTTGGTAATGGAAAAGGTTGAATCGACAAAAAATAAAAAATAAAAAAAAATCAATAAAATCTCATAGAGGTAGCATATACAATTATTGAGGGGGGAGTAATGTATACTATAACATATTGTACCGTGGAAATATAGTAGTGCGTCAAGTTTCAGACTAATTTAGTTCTACTCTTGTGAAAAAATCAGCTAAGTGAAAATACCATTTTTCTTTGAGTAGCTCTGATGGCCTAGCAAAGCCACGTTTCTTGTGCAACCAAGTACTTCCTTATAATAAGGCACATCATCTTTCCATACTTAATCCTTCTTATATCCCAGATGGCTATTATCAGTTCACGACTGAAATGAATGCTGTGCCTAATCTATGGCTGGGCTTGCACCAACCTTTCTTTAGAGGCTGGGGGAAGAGGCTCACAGCTAACTCCTGGATTTCCAGTCTTCTTTCCCCAGTTTTTCTTAGAGGATGCTTTCTACTAATTCACTCTGATGTCTAGTTTACTGAGAAACTCGAGCCCACTGTGATACAAATATCAACATCAATTGCTTTCTTCCTGCCACACTTTCTAATTTACGTAACTGAGTCACTGGTCTGCTTGAGGGCAGCGAGGGGAAAATTTTCCTGCAGCTAGTCTGATACCGAGAAGCTGTGAAGGCTTCTTCCCTACAGAAAAGGCTATTAACACAAAGGCTGACACGTAAAAAAATCGTTATATGCTAACCCTAGGGTTGGTGGTATGAGTAATCTGAGTACGAACGGAAGGCTCAGGCTTGGCAGGCATGATTCATATAATTTCACTGGAGCTGCAGAGGTTAGTGTCTTTACTGAATCACATCAGCTTCTGTTTTTATTCCTCCTCTTCTCACCCAAGAGAGGGAAGCAACCTTGAACAGCCCAGCACTTTCTTCCCCCAACAGCCTGATAAAGCCTCTGACCTTCAGTTTGTGGGACTCACATTCTGACAATAAGCACAGCTAGTCATCAGCATGATTCACAGAACTTTCTAAATACCTAAACTGAAACCACCCTTGTTGTCTTCTGATGCAGTTTACTGATATCTGATTTGTGCTATTGATAACAGGAAGCTAGATGGTTTCTTTTACAGCTACTTGAAGATGCTATCTTTATTAGTAAAAAAAAAAACAAAAAAAACCCACTGAAATATTGGTTTTGTATCTTGCTTAAACTTTAAAATGCATGAAAAGGCAATAACGGGCAATTCTCTAGAACGCTCCCTGCCGCTGCTTAAGCTTCAATTTGATTTAAGTATCAGAAAAATTCTGAACCTGTCGAAACCAGCATTAATTCTGCCACTGCATTCAATGGGACAGGGATTCAACACTGGAATCTATATTTGTAAGTCTGAATTTAGAACAAGTAGGAGAAAGCATTTGGTATGTTACAGACAAAAATTGTCTACAAGCTGTGTTCCATGCATAATGTAAAATATGATATATATTCCATCTGTATACATGCTTACCCAATTTGCATTTTAAAATATCTCACCCAGTTATACATCTGAGAGCTAGCAGATGCATGGTGTCTTTGCACTAGCTTCTACTTACATCATTGGACAGAACAAAAACGGTTCTTTTGAAAACTGAGTCCTAATCTTCCATACTCAGCTGAACCAAGAACAAATTTTAGCCTTCAAATAAAATCTGGCCAACCCTCCTGACCCCCAAAACTGTGAAGGCAGTTGCACACAGGCTACATTGTTAGCTATGACTCTCTCGTGTGACCTCTACACGTCTTGGATGTGCTGGTAACCTCTCTTCCGAGAAACAAGGGTTTTAGAGCAAGACGTAAAGGTGGGCAGGTGGGCTGGATCAGGATTTGACGTGCAACCTCACTTCCACCTTTCTTGTAATCAACAACTACTAACTCCACGTTTATCTCCCAGAACTTATCAACTGCAATGTATTCCTGCATTTTAAACATGAAAAATCGATGGCTTAATATATTTATGCTTCTTCTTACAATTTTTGATTATATGAATCATTATCATTCTAAAATATCCTTTACCTGCTTATCCGTCAATTAATAAATGATAGGGGCTGATGGAGTTCTTCTTATCTCAGCGGGTCCGTGACCTCACCTGTGTGACCGTGAGTCCTTGCCTGTAGCAATTCACAAACAACAGAAAGGCGTGAGATTGTTCAGCGTATAACCTCAGCCGCACGTGGCTGAGACCGCACTAGCAAATTACACCGCCAGAACAGAGTTTGTAACGATGATCCAACTTCCTCTGCTAGCAAATTCCTCTGTAAGTCGAAAACTTAAGAAGTTACACATTTTGGTACTGGAGCTCAAAATTAAATTGTTATCTTTCTGAGAAATGTTTTGTCCACAGCAGCGCAGTGTAATAACTGAAACTGTAACGTATACGCAAAGGCACTTACAATATCGCCTTTAAAGGGGCAACAGTGAAACACCAATGGAAAAAAAATCTAGTTTCAACCCATGTTAGAGCTGTGCTCCTACAGCCGCACACCCACGCGTGCCCCTGCCCGCGGCACGCAGCGCCGGTGGCGGGG